AAACATGATTTTTAAAATCCTTTTGACCTTCAAAAACCATTGATAACTTTTATAGCTTTTTCACAACTTTTTTATGAAGCTGTAATGCAGGTCACAGACAAATTCTACCTACTTTCCTTGTCAAGGAGGAGAGGGAAAGTGTTAAATTGAGAGTTATATAGGAGGTCAACCTATTCTCCAAAGCACCTGAAGGCAGAAGCAGCAGCAATGGATGGAAATTAACCAAGGAGAAACCAATCTAGAAATAGGAAGAAGTTTCTTCACAGTTAGATCAGTGCAATGGCTTGCTATCAGAAGTTCTGGATGCTCCGTGACTGGAGGTTTTTAAGAAGAGACTTGTCAACCATTTGTATGAAATGGTAAAATACAGGGTCTCCTGCTTGAGCAGAGAGTTGGACTAGAAGACCTGTAAGGTCCCTTCCAACTCTGTTATTGTGTTACTTTGTCAAATATATGGAACAATATTAAATGTTTCAGGCAGCAGAGCAGTCAACTAGATTAGTAATTCTTCCTTCTGCAGCCCTTTTAATGTCCACAAAACCTGCTCTGGATGTTGGACTATTCTTTGGAGCAGATACATAAGCTAGAATCTCTGGCCACAGACAATAGATGACAGATAATTTGTATGGGGAAAAAAACCTGCACACTCATGTGGGAAGTCAAGATACTACATGCAGTTCCCCCATAATTTTTTCTCATAACCCTATGAGATAGATTAAGCTGATGTGTGTTTTGAAAAGCAGAAAGGAAAAGAAAATCTGTTCAAAAGGTTCTATCAAAGGATAGATACCCCCTTTTAGATACTCCATACTTTTGACTGGTTGGTTAAGTAAGAGTTACCCTCATTTACCAAGAACAAATGATTGAAACATGTTTTGTGATGTCACAGGGCAAACCCAACAAACATCAAGTAACAAATTTGAAAGGCCTGAGTTTGCATTATGACAGCGTAAGGTACATGTCACTTTTTCATCAGTGCATTTTGTATATGTTTATGCCAGCGAGCATCATAGTTGGGTGAGTATTTAAAGGCGGATCTGACTTCAATCATTACATTGGCACAAACTTTAGCATATTTTTTAAAAAAAGAAAATAAGAGATAAAAACTAGAGTTTTACATGTACCATACACAACATCAACAGCATTAACCGTACATACATATTTAGAAACCCAACTGAGTTAAACAAGGTGGATGAGAGTTGCAGTCTAAGAATCTAATTGTGACTTTTCATAAGGCTGATCAGAAATTTGGGGGACAAGGGCAATGTAGTTTCAACATTACTGAACTATCACTAATTACTCTATTTAGAATGGTTTTCCTAAGCTTGTGTTTTGGGGGTTGGAGGGGTGTAATTATGTTCTGGTCAATTTAATTAAACATACGATCCTGGCACATGAACGGCCTTATGTTGCACTTTAGCTTTTATTTTACCAAGGTTTTTTGCATTCCGAAGGATAGACTTAAAGGCCCAGGTACGTAAAGGGCGTCAATTGCACACAACGCCCCACTTCTACCAAGACCTCAATTCCAGACGTACGCTTTCATGATGGAATGAACGAAGCCCCATCGTCACTTTGCAACCCCCAGGAAAACCGGACGCGAAAAACCTGCTGCACATCCCGAGGCGGAGCCCTTGAGGGAAAGAGGGGGAAAAAAAGAAGAAGCTCGCAACGACCCCTTCGCGATACCCATCGGGTGCCCTTTGCCTGCCATGAAATGCTAAGAAATGCTCAGGGCCGCGGGGTTACCCGGCAAGGAAGGGCGAACCGATATTAAACGGCCTTGGCTGCTTGCAGCCTGCGCAAGGCCCTACGAGCGAGCGCGTGGGGACGGGGGGGGGAAACACCGAGGAAACTCGCCCCCCCATCCCCAGCCCTTTCGCCACCAGACTTACCGGTGGAGCGCTGGAGCAGGACACCCCCCTCCCTCCTCTGCCGGCCGTGGCGTTCAGGCGTCGCCGCGAGCACTGACGTCACCCTGGCAACGCCAGCGCTCGGCGCGTCGACGTCATCGCGACGGAAACGAAAGCGAGACTCTGACGTTGCTGGATTACACATTTTTATAGATTGTCCCTTTTTGGAGTCTGGTACCGTAATTTCCAGGGAAAGAAAAGGGAAGAAAAAAAAGCCATCCCTCGTTTAACCTATCTCCCCTTGGAAATATTTGCTCTTTTAAAATCAATGGAGAAATTGCAAAGCTGAAATTCAAGCCAAACGGACGGGCTCCAGCGTGAGCGGTCAAAACATAATCTTCCTTGTTTGAACTACGACGAAAATTAAGAAAAAGAAATTTGAGATTTATTTCAATATTTCTTTTCTTTTTTTTTTTGGTTAAACGGGACCGTAGCTTCTACTATCCAACCCGATTCAACTTGTTTTCGGCATTAGCCCATTGCTACTAAGAAAGATCAGTCGCGCTTTCCTTTTTTTGGATACAACCCTCAAAAGGAGTTTCTTTCACAACATACATTATAGGAGGGTCACACTGGTTTAGGATACATAGGCACGGTCTTAAAAGTCTAGATTAGCACGGAGTCAGAGAAAATAAGTCTTTCTTCCTGATCATCAGCCTTCTGAATCCTTGCTTCCATCTATAGTTTGCAATTTCCCTGCCCAGTAAAAGGTAGATAAACTACTTTCCTCCTAGTAATATCCTTTGCATTAAGCAAACTGGAATAGTGACATAAAAAAAAAAACCTTGCAAATGTGACACAGCACAATCTCGTAGCCCTTTTTATGCCATAATGCAGTGAAAACTGAGCTTTCCTTCCTTCATGATATAGGGTTCAGAATGCAGCAACGTTTATAGGATGAAAACCGCATTTACGTATACAGGAGATACTTCTATTACTAACCTTTTTATTTCTGTAGCCTCCAATTATAGTTGATTGCACAGTCTGCCAGATGGGTCACCAGTCAGTCAGACTGGATTTGGTATTTTTATTTACCTATCAAGCCCTTCTCAAGGACCCAAGTAGATGTTTGATGATATTAAAGGCACTGTTACAGGATGCAAGGCATGTAAAGGTGCTTTTTGCAAATGACCAATGATCATTTTGGCAATGCCAGTAGAGTTCAATTGGTGTTTTGGGATTGCAACCAAGGCACATACCGCTATTGGTACTCTTTGCTTTTTTCACCACAGTCATTCTACTTCTATTTGCAGATCTTTGTATTTTATGATTATCGAAGAAATACAAAGATCAGTGCTGATCCCCTAAAAACTGCCTAGAAAGACCCTCAGTTTTTTGGCAGACTTTCAGAAATGATTTATTACCTGCTTCTGCTTCCTATGACTAGAGAAAGTGACTGGCTGAGGGTAACAGGAGACTTCAAAAACTCACTCCCAGTTTGTAACCTGATGCCTTGCTATATATTTATTTCATAGAGTTTTAGTTGTTTTTGTTTTATGATATATGCTGCCCAAAGTCACTTACTGAGATGGGCAGCTATATAAATCAAATAAATAAAACCACTACAAGTCGCCTTCACTCAATGACCCTAATTGGAACCAGGAACTCCACTGCTGAGCAAAGCAGATGATAAATGGGAAATCATGTAACCACAACTGTGCTTTCCATCTAGAAAGAGACTAGTAAGTTGGTTGATTGCGCTGACAGCTCACAGGTGGGATGTGCTGACATCCCAGGCAAACATCTTACAATACTCTCTTGAAAACTCTTCCTCTCTAATAGCTCCACTTGTAGAGTGGCAAACCAAGTAATTTCTATAGGCCAGATCTCAAGGGTGGGATTCTAACAGTTCTGTCTGGCTCTACAGAACCAATACCTCTGAAGAGCAGCAGATACAGAACCGGTTCTGTGTCTGCTGCTGTTTTGGCCCACACGTCCACCCGGGCTCTTACCTGTCCTTTACTTCCTGCTTTTTCAACCACAGCTGCTTTGCACGGCACAGCTGGGGTTAAAAAAGCAGCAAAAGGCTTTTCCAACCACTGCGCACCCACACGCAGTGCTGCTCAGCTGTCCAGGCAGCTCAGCAGGTCGTAAATTGCATACGCGTGACTCGTGCATGTGCACGCAACACAGAGCAACAGAACCAGTAGTTATACCGGTCGGATCCCATCCCTGACAGCTCTCCTTTTCCTGACTCCTCATACACAACAGAGAGTGATGAGGAAAGGATTTCAATAGAGTACTATGAACTTCTGCATATCAAAAGCAGTGTGTTTGTGCATCAACAATGGGAAAGAATCAGACAAAGGAGAGATTGCCTATAGAAATCGTTTTCTTTTCCCCATCCTCACAGCAGAAAGAAGAAAAGATTTCACAACAGTACTGTAAGCTATCTATAATGGGCCTGCAGCTTTCAGATTCAACTTGCTTGCATGATTGCATTAGTTTCAATGTGTAGAAGAGTAAACAGCTTACTCTCTTACAATCCCTTCCTCTCCAAACTCTCTGCAGTGGGGGGAAGGGAGAAAAAAACACAAGGCGGACATAGGACAATATGTCCTGAGTGTAATGAGTGTAATGTCCTTGACTAAGCAATGCTGTGAAGATATTAAATGGCGGTAACTTGGCTGTAAAATTATTTTTAAGCACCTTTGTAACAATTGCTGAACAAGTGGTTGGTAAGAGAGGAATATCTATACTAAACTGGCTCTCCAAAACCAATATTGTTTTACTAGCTTCCTAGTTTTTGATTTGCAAACAACCAACAGATCCTGAAATTATTTTTTTTAGTGCCAAATATAAGGAAGCATAAACAAGATTCCACAAAGTTGAAGAGTCAGCTTCAGCAGCAGAGAATAAAAAAAGAGTACAACTTCACAATTTAGTATGCAAATATTTAATATTTTCCATCTTCTTCCAGAGTCTTAAAATTGCCATTTTGATTTTTTGTCAGCACTTCAAAATGATCCAAATACAGCAACCGTTATTTACTGGAGCTAGGAGCAAGAATCAATTTGTATTGCATTACAGAATTCACCAACCATAAAAAGAGTTCAACAGTGAACGTTTTTCCAGAAAAAAAAATTCAGAACATTTGACTGCATTCAGGCACTACAGCTAAATAATATTATTTTTTAAAAACTTGGCTCAATTTCCCTTAAACATGATTTGTACTAATTGTGGTTCACCATTTAAAAAAAAACACAGTTATGAAGGTTTGTTCTTTTGTTTAGTAGAAACAAGTAAATTTCTAAAAAAAAAAAGCTGAAAGCTCTGCTTTTTTCTATGGTAGATTTGGAAATTCAAACCTTGATAAAGATCTTATCAACATTGGTTTTGAGAATGACTCACAATAAACCACAGGTTTATATGCCCCCCCCCAAAAAAATATTACAATATTCTGTATTCAGATTAAATGGGAAATTGCATGCAAGAGCCAAAATTGGCCTTCCATCTCTTCTTGCACATAAAAGGAAAAGAAAGGAATTTTAGACCATCAGTATACTGCTACTCACTCCCTAACCACCAATCTGAATGATTCTTCTGCTGTGTTACGCTAAAAGTATTCAAGTTCACAACCAAATTCATGAAGTAAGTAGGGAGAGAAGAAACAGAATACAGGATCAGCTACTTTTTTTTTTTCCTGATTACATCAATTGTTTTCCCTTAAAGAAGCTATAATAGTTCTTCTTAAAGGTCTCAAGTGATGGCGCTCCCACAACTTCTTGTAACTAACAGTGCATTGTTGTTATTTCTAATCTAGATTAAAGTCACCATATGATTAGGGTTCAGGATTTCAATCCAGTAGCCATCAGGATCCTGAATAAAAGCCAGGCCTTTCATTTTACCTATAAAAGAAGAATATATAATTTTAATAAATTCTAGTGTAATTCTCATTTCAAGCCTTTACAAGGTGTGTATCCCAGGATAATGTAATCTAGGTCGGTCACCAGAATTAATTTATTTAGCATACGGCAAATACATGGACATATAGTGGTTCAAATGTTAATGTCCAGTCCATCCAGCCATTCAAGGACAGGGTGGTCTATGTTGAGAAAATCAGACATTGGGACACAATGTGATGGATATTTGTCGAGGAATACCACAGTCACCCTGAGGGGATTACCAGAAGTTCCCTGAAGATGGGCTCTAGCACAAGTCCGAAAGCTTGGAAGACAAAACATCTGGTCTGGTGACAGACCCAGATTGGATACTACTTTACAACTTTCCCAGATTAATATCTTCGCCAAGATTTTTTTTCTAGTTACAAGATTTTTATCATTTATTTGCAAAAAGCAACCCGAAGATAGATAAATAGGTTGGAGATACACATCAGGCTACCCTACATAATTATATACAATTTGACATGATTGATGTATTCACCCATTAATCTCAATACTACATACAAAGAAAAGGGCAATTATTGGTTCATAGCACACTCACCATCATCTGGCTTTTTCACAAATTTTACCCCCAGTTCTTCAAATCTTTTACAAGCTTTATTTACATCAGGAACAGCAATTCCAATGTGACCTAAAGAACAGCAGAATAATCAAAAACAGTGCTACATTTGGTAATATGTGAATGCCTTTGTTCATAAAGCATTGATGTAAACCATCCATTTTTTGAAAAACAGGAAATACAACCATTATTCCATAATACATACAGAAGAAATCTATTCATTGCATTCAAAATTACGTTTAAAAGGGAACATCCCCAATCTGATGTGATCCAGAGGCAGTGGCACAACTCCTATAATTTCCGTCCAGTTCTAAAACTCAATGATGGGATTATGGAAATTATAGTCCAATAAATTTAGAGATTATCAAGAAGATACAACTTTACTGAATGAACCAGAGTTTCAGTGTGGATCCTACATCTAGTCCAATCCCTAGCTTCTGCAGTATGCTAAACCAGCAGTCCCCAACTTTTTCGGCACCAGGGAATGGTTTCATGGAAGATAATGTTTCCATGGACTGGGAGAGTGGAAGAAGCATGCAACCTAAATCCCCTGCATGTGCAGTTTATAGTATGGTTTGCACTATATGAATCTAATGCCTGATTATCTGAGGTGGAGCTGAGATGGTGATAATAGCACTGGGGAGCAGCTGCAAATAACAATTGAAGCTTTGCTTACTTGCCTGTCACTCACCTCCAACTCTGCAGTCCGGTTTCTAACAGATCATGGACCAGTATCAGTTTAGATATGCATTTTAATTGTCTCTAACAGATGTCTGGGCAACATCTATTATTGTTGTAAACAAATACTCTATTTTACTCATTTTAAAAATATCAAGTCATTACTCCTTCTCCTGTCCTTGATTTCAAAAAAAGAGTAAGTCCTCTCTATGCTTGTACACAGCAGGCTTTCTCTAAATATTTGAAGACCATTATGGCTTTCCTTAGTCTTCCTTGTGTAAGCAAAATATAGTCAGAAAGTTTAACTATTCTTCCTAAAAATTGGTTTCCAAATCCCATGCAGCACACTTGAAGCTTATTCAGTGTGTTTTTCCCTGGGAATTGCTTGGATCTGAGCTTGCAGTATCTTGTTTTTAAGGGTGTCCCACATTTGTTTGTTTTTAAGATTTCAAGCTATAGCACGCTGCCCATCTTTCTCCTTAGTACATTCAATTCTAGCTAATTTTTCACCATTTTTCTCTTCCTTTGTGTTTGTGAATTCCAGAACAACATAGTTATTTGGCCTCAAAGTGCCTGACTCATTCATTCCTAGGTCTAATTCTGACCAATCTCCCTATTGGTCAGAATTAGACCTAGGAGAGTCAACTCTATCATCATGTAACACCATCTTCTTAATAAAAATGCTACTTTACTCAAACCTATACCCGTCTCCTTCCTTCCGGTTTAGTTTTTATTCAGTTATTTCAATTTATATAGTTGCCCATCTCCCTTATCTGACTCTGGTCAACTGACAAATAAAAAAAATTAAAGGAGCTGTTTCAAACTATTATTGAAATAAATTGCAGTACACTATTCCTTTGTCTGCCTTGAAGACACCTCAGTATATACAGAATGCTCAAACAGACATACTGCCTGGTAAAAGTAGAGCTAACTACAGACTGCACTGCTGGCTTGACCTTATGAAGGGTCTATTCTTGATCTTTACTCTCACCTGTTCTCCAAAATTCAGTTATTTTTTACATTAGTTGCCTTCTGGAAAGCCATTACAACATACTTGTTTTGACAAGCCTTCAGAGTTGTGGTATGTCTATCATTTATTTAGTAATATGCTGTCAATTATACTTTTTTCACTGTGAAATGCAGTTTTATGATTTTACTGTTTTGTAATTTTGTTTTGTGAATTACCTATAGAACGTGTGGTGCTATGAAAATAATAATTAATACAATCCACATGTAATGAATATGATAATCAGGCATAATGTTCTTTTTGTCTGAAATTCCTCCAGTAGAATTACATAGTAATTGTAAACATGGTTTCTCTGACAAATGAAGCCCAACCTAGAAGGAAATTTATGCTGCCATCATATTGTGGAAACTGAATACAACTGGATGCATTAAATTGGGGAGAGCTGATCCTAGAGCCAATGCCATTGCTGTATTTCATGGAGAAAGTTTTCATCCATGAAAAGATTAAAAAAATATGAAGTTGGAGTAGAGTTTTCCCCCCCCCCCCCACTTTTTAAAGATTAATACACTTTTCTGGAAATAAAAGACACACATATAATACATTTTGGCTTTTTTCAAAACATACCAAATCCTCTGGGGTCTGAATTGCCATTGTGATATGCCTGATTCTCATCATTTTCAGTGCCCCAGTTGCTGGAAGGAAGAAAGGAAGGAAGGGTGGGAGGGAGGGAGGGAGGAAGGAAGGAAGGGAGGAGACAAATGGAAAAAGTGGAGGACAAATATATATTGATTAAGCAGTTCCAGCATAAATTAGAGGCTAACTAAACTTTTTGAAAAAACTTAAAGAAACTAAAGAAAATCCTAAATTCAATATAGAGAACAGTAAATATATAAATTTGAATCATTAGCAAATTACATTCAATTATATTGGGATTATTGCTCTAGAGAAATTAAAGCTACTGTATACTAAAAGAATCCACATAAAAATGAGCTTCATCAAATAAACTTATAAAGAACAGGGATTTATTTGCGCTGATATAAAATTGGAAGTAAATCATTGGGTAGGAATCTGCTTCTTCACTGCAGTTAGTCTGTTACCCAAACATGTAAAACTACAGGCAGAACTTGCTTAACAACCATTCATTTAGTAACTATTTGAGTTACAATGGCCCTACCCAGTCTTATATACAACTGATATAGTGCCTCTGCAGTCAGGGGATCAAAATTCAAGTGATTGGCAGCCCACTTGCATATACAATTGTAGGGGTGTTTCAATTTCCCAAAACCACAGTAGCTGCTTGTACACCCTCTCACTGGGCAGCAGCCACCCCCAGCCACCATGGTCATTAGCAAATCTATTTTCTCCAATGGACAATTGTCAGAACTGGAAATAAATACAGGGAACTGAAATAAACATTGCAAACTCAGTCTTGTAACTGGAAAGGTGATCTGGTTGCCCAGCACCCAAAATGTGATTATTTAACAGGGAGATGGGTGGATTATGGTCATAGAAACTTTGAAACAGGCCATAATTAGTTTTGAGGCTTCTGATGACTGTTAAGCAACCAATTATAAGTCAAAGACTACCAGTATTTATTTTAATTTGATGGTCACATGATTTGTGTGATGAATTGTAGCTGCTAAGCAATTAGCTATTGGAATTTCTTTCCATTCTGAGTAGATTTGGGAGCTATTTTTATTCTTTGGCCAGCATTTTTATTTATTTTATTTGAATGCTGGTAAGTCAGACACCTGTTCCAGTTTAAAAGCGATTACACACACTGAAAAAAATCCGTATCTGACAATAAGTTGATCCAGCACACATTAAAAGCAGGATATTTATTCCTTTGTATGGAACTGTCCTTTAAGTAGGCAAATTATGACATAGACAATATAAATTATTAGAACAGTACTTTTGAACAGTACTTTAACAGTACTATATTGCTTTAGCAATATAATTATTGCTTGCATAATGGATGTTGATTTCCTTCTTCAAGACCATTTTCGAACCCTCTATAGCAGGGATGTTAAATTTGCAGCATCACATTGTTGTCACATAACATATTGCATTTTTTTTTAACCTTTCACTAAACCGGGATGGGCATGGCCAGTGTGTGACGCATCCGGCCCACAGACCACGAGTTTGACACCCCTGCTCTACAGGAACCAAACCTTTTTTTAAAAAAAAAATATTTTAAGGGTGTCCTCTTTAAAAATCATTTTAAAGGTGATCCATAGTTTGCAAAAAAATCATTCCTTATTCATTTCTCAGAATCTCCAGGTTTGAAGATGATATAATACATGAAAACCTGGGGACTGGGGAAAAACCAATATGCAACAATCACTACATTTGAGAGAATACACTCACTGTGTCAGTTCTACTGTGGCCTTCCTAGAAAAGGTCCATGCTATCCTCTCATTATTATCTTTTGGAATATCATTTTTATCTTCATACGCCAAAAAGTAGAGGGAGAACTTCATAGAAGGAAAGTCATATTTTTGAAGTAAACTGAGGAAAAAAATACACAAATTATTTCATCCTAAACATGAAGTGATTTGCCATACTTTGTTTCACATGCTTGCAAATTTACTGATTTCTTGAAGTAAAAAATATATATACCAAGAAAGCAAAATTCATCACACCTCAAAAGATCAATAAACTCATTTGGCGTAAGCTTTCAGAGACCTCTACAGCTTTAAATTGAAGGCAATCAAATCTTTCTCAAAATAAAGCTGATTCCACCCCACCTCCCAATTTCCTCATTGTAACATAGTAACAAGCCCCTTGACGATCAGCTTTAGGACTGCTGTTGGCAATTTTTTAAATTTAAAAAAAATCAATTAAAAATAAACCTGAGGTTTACAATGACAACAAAAGCATACAAGTGATATTATTTTCTTATATAGATCAAATCCAAAAGGACCCTTACTGTGGCAATGTTGAGGAAAATGCATTACTTTTGCTTATATAAAATTTAGTTTTCACTCAGAAAATATTTGGAGGAACATTTGTGAGGAACAATTTATGTGCACTTCACAATATATCTCCCAAATCCTGACTTAATATGTCAAATCAGTTTTAATTTAGACTACATACAACAAGTATGGTAGCCAAAGGCATTTGATTTCTTGTTATTTCAAATGTTTTTTAGTTATTGTTCTTAGAAAATCAAGTATGTAGGGTGCACATTCCTTTGTCACATGCAGCAAATAGAACACTCAATAATGTTGCCTCATACTTAAATATATTCCAGTCTACTGGTAGGGTTGATGAGGGACGAACAACATTGTTTCAAACCTTGGAGAAAAGGCAGAGTTAAACATGTTTCTCACTCTAGTGATTGACAAAAATATTACACCCACAAACAAAGAGTCCTTTTACTCAGCTGAAGGTTTCATCAAAGGGAAAATATTTTTTGTTTCTTTAGTAGTTCTTCTCTTCTGTGCCAAGTTTTCTCAAAGGCCTTCCCTATCATTGGAGCAATATAAAGCAGCTTAAAATCTTTCATTAGTGGAGGACTAGATCCAAGACTCTTTTGTTTTTAAATGATTAAAATGCTAATGAAGACAAGTAAATTGTTTTTACTTACGTCATCCCAAGAATTCTAGTATAAAAATCCAGTGATTTTTTAGGATCTTTTACTCTTAGCATTGTCTGCTGCATAAGAAAATCCTATAGAAAAATACAACTTTGGTAACTCCGAAGACTCAACAAAATAGAATATAGTTTTGCTTGAGACAAAAAAATGGCCAAGACTAAAGTATTTGTTTTGACGGCACAAAACTATCTGGTCAGTACTTGCATGGTTTTAGCAGGATTCTGGTGGATGTTATTATTTTGATGCCTAGGGTACTGAATAGCAATCGAAGAGCCATTGTTTTGAAGCTGAAAATTCTTTCTCAACCTAAGAATCTAAATTAAAATATGGTAAAAGATGACTGTCCACCAGGGCCCCTTAAATACATCATATTACTTGATAACTGGTTCAATTTACACCTGTTCTTACTGATAAGAATGTTTCTAACTTTCACTGGAGCCTTCAGGAAAATTATTCCATTTGGTACACTCTGGAACACCAGAAAAGATAGTTGTATGTCACCCCTTCAGGGATTTCTAAAGTGTGATTTTGCTATCTTTAGATTTTGTTTTTCCAACTTAAATGAACCCAGTTCTTTCAATTTCTCAATTTAAGACTTGAAATTCATTCCCTAATTTTTCTTAAATGTTTTCTTTCTACTTACTCCAACTTTCTTTAAAAAATATTGGGCATTGGGGTGCAAAGATAAGCAATTAGAGCCTCACATAATGAAGGGCTGTAGAGTGCTCAGATTCTAAGATGCTTCAAATAATGCCTGCCTGCTATTCCTTAAAGTACTTTCATCTGCAATGCAATCCCCCAAAAAGATTTGTTTGACTTAAAGAATTACAGATAGGTACAACCATTTGTCCAGTGGCTGTTCAAGTTATGATTACTGTTTAAATTCAGGTTACGATTACTGTTCAAGTTACCTATGAGCCATCTATAAAGTTGACGTCCTCAAAGAGTCCCTGCAGTAACATGATTGTGATTCGGATAATGTAATCTTACTGTCCTGCACTTAAGAAGGTTGCAGGGTCCTGTAGTTAGGTGATCATTATTTGTGATCTTCCCTGGCAGTTTTCCACAAGCAAAGTCAATGGGGAAGGCAAGGAAGTCCCATAAGTCACTCCTACTCTCACCACTTTTTCTCCTGAGGAGCTCCTGGGCAACAGAGTGCTAGGATGAGGAACCATTAGTGAGAGAGCCTTGGTTTAAATAACTCTTGCAACATACTTCTATCTTATCTTTTCAAAAGCATATTATACTATGTTAAATGAAGATAATTCCCCAAGGTATGTGTAAATAAGATTACAATCTACTAACTACCCTGTTAAATCTTCCTAAACTTGGTAGAAATACCAACACAACTATGTTATTAACAGAGAAGAATATAAAGTACCTCAAGGGATTCTGATAACACTTGAGAAGGCATCTAGAATATAGTCCTCAATTTACAACCACACTTGAGCCCAAAATTTCTGTTGTTAAGTGAGACATGTTAAATGAGTTTTTCCCTGTTATGACCTTTCTTGCCACAGTTAAGTGAATCACTGCAGTTAATTAGTTAATCACCCAGTTGTAAAGTGAATATGCTTTCCCCATTGACTTTTTCAGAAGGTCATAAAAGGTGATCACATAACCTTGGAACACAGAAACAGTCATAAATATGAACCAACTGTCCAGCATCTGAATTTTGATCACATGATCATGGGAATGGTACAAAGGTCATAACTGAAAAACAACTTTGAAAGGTCACTAAATGAATTGCTGTAAGTCAAGGATTACCTGTAATCAGTTCAGGTTGCAATGTGTAATCTTACAATCCTAGACAGATATGAGGAGGAGGGATCCTTTGTGCTCTCTGAGCTTGCTTGTTTTCTTGCAGACGTTTCATTACCCGAAAAAAGGTAATTATCATCAGGCCTGGCACTCGTTTGGATAATGAAATGAAATGAGGACCCTTCATTTCAATTCTGAGTTACAAATATTCTTTATTGGCTATGCATATCTATCATGATTAGTAGGATAGCTAACAAATGATTGCTTTCCTTAACTTGGGGCTTTCCAGATAAGAATTAAAGCAGGGGTCTTCAAACTTGACAGCTTTAAAACTTGTGGACTTCAACTCACAGAAATCCTCCTCCAGTCATGTTAATTCAGGAATTCTGGGAGTTGAAGTCCACAAGTCTTAAACTTACTAAGTTTGAAGGCCCTTGAATTAAACTCTCGCTGTACAAGATTTGAGATGATGAAAAGTGCTGGCCAAGCACACGGACCAGGCTGGGAAATAAAGAATATCTGCAGCTCAGGGTTGAAAGGAGGGGTCCTTGGTGCTTTCTGAGCTTCCTTGTTTTCTTGCAGACGTTTCATTACCCAAACTAGGGTAACACCATCACTGCTAACATCAGGACTAGCACTGATGATATTACTTAGTTTGGATAACGAAACGTCAAGCAAGCTCAGAGACCACCAAGGACCCCACAGGCTGCAAAAGGCTGGCATATGAGGCAACAGCATTCCGGGCAGGATATGATCCTCGGGCAGCCAAGACTTGAGGTCACTTTTTGCTTGGCTAAGGGCTCTCTCTTCCACCAGAGTTTTCTGCAATTCCTGAATCCTGCGAGCTCTATCCGTTCTTTCGGCGGAGCGAAAGTCGCTCGCAGTGAAATCAAAAAGTGTTCCCGTTCTTCCCACTTTTCAGCAATCTCTCGCTATTTGTTCAACGGTTTCCTCCTCCTTGCAAGTCACGTCTTTCCCTTTACCTTCGTGCTGGGATCGGGGTCGGCACAGGCGCTATAGGCTTCCTCATCGGTCAGACCGCTCGCCTCGCCTTGCTCCGACATGCTGCAACCAGGGAGCCGAACAGCCACTGCAAATTACGCCCCTTCTCGTCCCTTCCCTGTCGCGTATTTTAGAGGCGAAGACGCTCTCCAGCCAATAGAGGCAAGGCATACAAATGGGCAAATCCGTTGTTCCTACAATTCCCAGCATTCTTTGCAGCAGAAGGGGGTTTAATTCAACCCTCCTTCTTTGCGTCCCCAATTCCTTTTAAAGAAAAGATGATTCATCCTCTATAAGTGATGAGGAAGCTAAGGGCTACCGCGAGTTCACTTTTGACCTACGGCCCAGAAAATTAGACTAGTAGTTGAAAGAGCAACAGCAAGAGTAGTCGACTGCAGAGAACTGAAAGAAAAGAAATATAGATTTAAAAAACAAAACAAAATTATGCGTGTGAATTCTAGGAAAACTTTTAAAAACTCCATTAATATCGTACATCCAATAAAGCGCAATCAATTTGATACACATGATCAAATCTGAACCACATTCATGCTCTTCAAAAGCAAAGAGTAAAATGCTTCACAGCTTCAGGAGACTTAATGGAAAATTTTATGAAAATTGTTTGGTATTCTCACAACATCCAATTTTCTGAAATCTAATGGTAGCTGTGAAGTATTGGTTTTCAAAATCAGTGTTTATTATAGCAAATAAGGCATCTGGTAATAAATAGTTGAGCAGAAGTCTGCAATTGAAGAAACTGTTATTAAAGCAATGCTCTCCAACTTAGTACTGTCCCCATACACATTGCCCAAATGCTTAATAAAGTATCAGTTGGCTCTACCTGACTCTGGTTTCTTCCCCAAACCCCAAAAAACTTTAACCTTAGACTGTCTACTATTGACCTCACCCCTTTCCTAAGAGGTCTGTAGGGGGCTTGCATAAGCGCACCAACGTGCCTATTGTCCCTGTCCTATTGTTTCTTTTATTTTTCTTATATGTACCCATTTCATGTATTCATAACGTTGAAAGGTGTCAAAATGCCTTTCTTCTGAGGATTCGATTTTCCCGCTGGGAGAGCTCCGGCGCAAGGATACAGACAACTGCTTGAAAGCTGGATCTTTTTATTTTTCAGGAAGGCGGTGGACAGCGAGAAGTCTGCGTTCCTGGGCTAGCTAGCTTCTTATGATAAGTCCCTGGTTTTTATACACTTTTCTCCCTTTGTGAGTTGATTTCGTATGAATGTTTGTATTTGTGCTTAATGTTTCAAATGCTGTTTGAGTTTGTCTTTATTCCTGCCGGAGGGCAAACTCCACGGGGTGCGGAAGGCAAACTACGCGAGGTGGTTAGATTGTATTATCGGTTTTTTCTAATCTCTTTTATCTTTATAATGGGTTTTTTCATATTTGTGTTGTGGCAATCTCCTGTCTGTCTCTTTTGTAATTTATATTTTTTGTGTCTTTTGTCTGTTTGTTTTGCTTATTTGGTCTGTCCTGTGTTTGTAAGGGTTTCCTTTTCTTATTTGTCTACTTTTCTTAATTACTTAGGCTTTTGTCTATAGGGATTCTTTAATACCTTTTATTTGATTCCTTTTCCTATGTAAGTTTGTTTTATGGCTGGCCTGATCTTCCCCTTGGGCTTTTCCTGTTTGAGTGACACTACTGTCTTTCAGTCACTCAATTTAAACTTCTCTTGACTGATCCTTCTTGTGTGTACTTTTCTTCTGAATCATTCCAACTTCCCAGGAAAAAACATCATGGTGTAAAAAAAATGCACACAGGAAGGAAAAAGTCACTGACCACTGTCATAAAGAGCAGCCTATACAGGGCTTCTGATTCAAAGTTGCTTTGGAGAGTGCATGTTTTCAAGTCCTTAAAGCAGCTGGGTTTGCAGTGCAATCTCAGAAAAAACTGTGTCTGCTTTAAGGAATTCAGAGAAGTATGATGCTTGCACTCCTGCCTGCAGTGAAGCACATTTTTGCCTTTAATTCAAGGCACTGCAAGTCATCATATCAAAGATCTATTAGAATTCTCTGCAGAATTATGAGAGGCAAAATTATAACCTGAAAACTTCAAAAGCGAATAATAATCAGGTCAAACTAGATTGAGTAAAATGGATTAATAATCTGAGTCAAATTTACTGCAAATTTTAGCTTCTTTATGACAAACTTTCCAGAAGGTTCTGAAGAGACATACCCTAGTCTTAAACTGAATGTTTGTTAAGATGTTTGAAAAAGTTGCATAACAACATAATACAGTGTTTGCAATCATGTTGTCATCCTTTATCAGCAGACACTAATCAAAATAACAGGCTTGATCAAGAGAGTCTAGATTTAAAGGGATTAGAAGGATATGCCAAGATACTGGCTGAGTTAATATACTACAATAAGACAATAAACCATGGTTTATAAATGACAATGTTTTATTTATACAACCTCAGGTTGTGTTAAAATAGGATGCATGCCCATGATTAAACATGATTTAGCTAAACCAATTTTGAGGTTAGAATGACACGCTAACCAACAAATTATTTACTTTGAAGGAGTTATTTATTATATATTATATCAGTGGTGGGATTCAAATTTTTTTACTACCCATTCTGTGGGCGTGGCTTGGTGGCCGTGGCATGGCTTGGTGACTGTGGCAGGGGAAGGTTACTGAAAAATCCCATTTCCTCCCCACCCCACTAACCTGATTTCCAGCTCCATTCTCCTGTGCAGGGCAACAAGAGAAGACTCAGTCGATCAGCTGGGACTCAGGAGGCAGAGAATAGATAGAGGCAGGGCCAGTCGGAGGTGGTATTTGCTGGTTTTCCAAACTACTCAAAATTTCTGCTACCGGTTCTCTAAAACTGGTCAGAACCTGATGAATACCACCTCTGAATTATATGATGGAGAATTGAAATGTGGAGTTTATTATTCAATATAAAATTAATATTTCTGAGAACATATTAGGAATTAAATGAAATGCTCAAGTTTCTATAATATTGTTCAAATAAGTTAGAAGCAAAGATAAAATAAAATCTCCATATAGTTCTTCCAAGAGTGAGTACAATAATACAGTGGTTAGCAGGAAAAAAATATGCTGATTTCAAGTGTTGGTTTTTTTTTCGTTTGATCATGTTGTGAATATTTGCAAGTTGGAAAAGACCGCACTCCATGAGTCATCTGTTTCAGCAACAGCACAATACCTATGAGATATTCCTACTGCTGGGCAATAATGCTGCATTTTGATTCCATCCCATTATTAGATTGATAGAGTCTGCGCTTAACTGCCAGTGAGGCCCTTGCACAACTTAAAAGTTCCATGTCCTTCCACTTATAGTCCCAGCTGAGTGCTTGAAGTCTTTTGAAGCTTTGCTGCAAATGTGCTCTCTCTGAATTCTTCCGCCCATCTTTATTAGAGTTCTTTTTTTTTTAGCTCAAGAAGGAAACTGCTTAACACTCAGTGGATGAAGTGAACTTCCTAGTCTGTCGATTTTCTTGCATCTTTTGAACAAGGTCAGTGAAGAAAGAATTTTGATTTGAGTTTGGTTTGAGAAAAAGATAAGAAAAGTTGGTTCATTTAGACACAAGCTCATTGCCCTCTTATTCTACCAATAGCCTGTTGTGCTGCTCTTTAAAGATAATTGTATAAATTAAAGTTTTATGCAACTCTAAAGTTTCCAGTGATCAATTTCCTATCTTCCAATATGTGAAGGATCATCTCATCTTAAATATTACAAGAGGAAAAGAACTATTTTAAATATATTTTATTTAAAGCAACTGATCGTTTCTTTTCAGTATTCTAATTTTGAAATACCTCAGAGGGTCAAATATAGAATAAATCAGCATTAAATAAAAATTCTTTGCTACACACCCATCATCCTGCTCCATATTGGGGTAAACCACATTTTGCCAAGAGCAAAAAACAAGTAACAATAAATAAAAAAAATAAAGTCATGACATCAAGAAAGAAAAGGGAATATAGTTAAAACTAATTTACATCATCATTCATATCTCCCTGTCCTTGCTAACAAGCTTCCAGTGCATTCATATACTGTTTCATACATTGCCTTTTTTGTTCTCTATAACAAAAACATGCAGAGGTAGCTCTTGACATATGACTGATCACAAAATGCAGTGCCACCAATGCTGAACAGAAGGAGAAGGTTTAGCAAAAGAACACCAGTTTTAGAGTAGCTGTATTGATTGCTAGTAAGCTTCCAGTCCAATTGGATGTCCTTGTTTTTACCTGTAAAAGAAGATATTTTCTAAAAGAAAAACAGAAAAACCAAGGACCTAAAAAGAGAGGTGTTCAACAGAATACCTTAGTTATTTGGGCATACTTGATAGTCTTAATAGAAAAAAGTATTTGTAGTTCATGGCTGAACTATGGAATTGACACTCTGATATACCAGCATCTCAGTGATGGGATTCAAAAAATTTACTACCGCTTTTGTGGGCATGGCTTGGTGGGTGCAGCGTGGCTTGATGAGCATGGCATGGGAAGGATACTGTAAAATGCCCATTCCCTCCCCACCCCACTAACCTGCTTTCCAGCTCCATTTTCCTGGGCAGGGCAACAAAAGAAGACCCAGCCAATCAGCTGGAACTCAGGAGGCAGAGAATAGATGGGGGTGGGGCCAGTCAGTCATGGTATTTGCTGGTTCTCCGAACTACTCAAAATTTCCACTACCAGTTCTCCAGAACTGGTCAGAACTGCTGAATACCACCTCTGCAGCATCTGCTGAAATCAATTATTCCAGACTGTTATTTTATTATACCTTTTGGTTGCATTACCCTTGTGGCCCGAGCTTCCAAAAAGTATTTTTGGGAACCAGTAGGTGTTGTTCTGCAGAAAAAAACAATGTGAACTAGCATTTTTTCCTAGCATGTGGTGGAAGATCTGAAAAGTTGTAAATTCTGAAGACTGCTTAAAAGGTCATTTTTATGGGGCTTTTTTGCAAAATGGCATCACTGCACTGCAGCAAGTGCCAAGAAAGTGTATTCTTTCAGAATATTTTCTTGATGTGAAAAACCTTAGTATTGTCTTCTCACCCAATGTCAACACAACAGAATAAAACAGTCCTTGCAGTTTTGTATGCCATTCCACCAAAAATTATTTATTTTGGAGAGAAGCATTATTCTAAA